TCTCCCGCACCAGCTTGTAGCGTGGCCTCTGCTGTGATTCGCTGTTTATTTTACTTTTCCCAGCGTTGAGGATGGAGCTCGGGCCCCCGGTCTTCGAGGCAAGTGCTCTACCACCCGGCAATACCCGCACACCTGTGAGCCCAGCATTCGCTGGGGAGGCTGAGGCGGGAGGATCGCCATGAGTTCAAGGCCAGCCTGGGCTACACAGTGAGGACTATCTCAACAAAAGCAAAAACAAAAACAAAACCCAAACAAAACAAAGGCCCTCAAATAAGACATTCTGTGAAAGGTATAGATGGCAGTTGGTTACGCGTACGACCAACCAGCCAAGAGCAGGCTCCTGAGGTCACTTTTTATTTTTTAATTTTTTATTTATTCTATTTTATTTTTTTCCTGAGGTCACTTTTGCAGCTTGTGCTGGCCGGCATCTGCCCGGTGTCTGGCTCTTCTCATTCCTGAAAGCACAGCAGCATGCTGGGGTTAACCTCCGTCCAAGAAGAAACTTAAACTCTACATGGGCTTTCATATACAGGCACCTGGAATGTATTTACTTTTGGTTTTCTGAGCCGGGGTTCCGCTATGTGGTTCAGGCTGGCCTTGAGCTCACTGCGTAGCCCACGCCGGCCTCCAACTCGCTGCTCTCCTCCTGCCTCGGCCTCCCGAGTGCGGGGATCACAGGTGTGCCACCTGGTTGAACCTGAATTTTTTAAGTTGCCAAGATATCTGGGCAGTCAATTTCTCATGTGCATCTCTTGTTGAATGTTTTGGCTCGGGAAAGAATGTGTGAAGCTCTTGGAAGACCTTTCTTGGGTAACTGCGCCCCTCTGCGGGGGAGGCTTAAGCCCACAGCCGCAGGGCGCCTCTCGCGGATCCCTCCGTGCGGAGGGGCGCAGCCGGAGCCGGCCAATGGCAGGGGCTGCACGGTCCACGCACTGCGCAGTCGCAATGCGGAAGGCGGTTACTTCGTTGCCGCCCTCTCCGATGCTGCGCTGTGATAGACCGGGAGGTTTTTGCGCTGCGCGAATGTGCTCTTATAGATGAACGAGTACAGTTACAGGCGTCGGCTGTAAATCGCTAACTGTGTGCCCGAGGCACTGCTGACGGATTGCAGCGCTCAGTCCGTTTTCACTTTTATGAAAGCAGTTTTGCTTTCTATTTCATGAACCTTTGTTCTGAGTTAGAGCTACAGATGTGAACCGACAGGTCACACTTATGTACTGCACATGATCACGCTATTTAGCATCGATGGTATATTATATTATGTAAATAATAAAAGCTATGTACAAAGCGGGAAAAAGAAAGAAAAATAAATTTTCAGCTGGGTGTAGTGGCATATGCCTCTAGTCTCAGCACCCAGGAGGCTGAGGCAGGAGGATCACTAGGAGTTTCAGGCCAGTCTGGAATACATAGTGAGACCCTGTCTCAAAAAACAAACAACCCCCCCCAACCCAAACAAAAAAATTCTCTGTGATTTTGAATGTGTTGTTTTCTTCTAAGGTCTGCAGTTTTGGGGTCTAGCAATTCTGTTTTTTCGAGGGCCCCCTGCTTTTCCCAAGTTGTGGCAGTGTAGAAGTCAAAATATGTCCCAGCTCACACTGGTACCGTATTTCCCTGAAAATAAGACCAAGTCTTATATTATTTTTTCTCCAAAATACACAATAGGGCTTATTCTCGGGGGATGTCTTTTTCTATGTACAACAATTTTTTCAGGTAAAAAAAAATACATTTAGGGGCCGGGGATTTAGCTCAGTGGTTCCGCCGCCTGCCTTGCAAGCGGAAGGATTCGAGTTCGACCCCCGGTACCAAAAAAGCCCCCCTGAAACAAACGTTTATTCAAATTCAGTCATCACCTTCTGCAACATCGTCATAACTCTCCAAACCCTGATTTCCTGCGACTCCATTTCCCGTGGAACCCTTAGCCCCGGTGTCTCCTGTCCAGCAGCAGAGAGCCTCCCTAAGTGAGCGCTTCCGGTCCGTTCAGCCTGCTCACAGCGCACTGGCAACATGACTGTCAGCGATTTTACCCCAGGAATCCTTCACCCGGTCACAGCCTCTCACAGGCTGGGTCACACAGAGTTTCCACTGAATCAAGTGTTAAGCCGGGCGTGGAGGTGCACGCCTGTGAACCCAGCGCTTGGGAGGCTGAGGCAGCAGGATCGCCAAGAGTTTGAAGCCAGCCTGAGCTACAGAGGAAGACCCTGTGTCAAAAACCAAACAACAACGACAACAACAAAACAAAAATGTTAAGTATTAATTGAAGCCTTATGAGATCACAGTGGCAACAAAAATGATGATAGTTGAGCACGATCCACACAAAAACAACAGAAAATTGCAGGGATCAGGATCAGAAAACACTTCCTTATTTCACACGAGTGCATCAAGTCCTTCCATTACAACACGCGCTGTACTGAATCCTGAAGATTCATATCAGCCACAATTATAGCGGCTCATTACCAAGTGCACGGTTTATTCCTGCATGGTGTCTGGACTCTGCTCATTAGGTCTTTCTTTTGAGACAGGGTCTCACTATGTAGTTGACGCTGGCCTTGAACTCACCATGTAGTCAGGGGCTTCAAACTTGGCACAATTCTCCTGCCTCAGCCTCCAGAATGCTGGGATCACAGGTGTGTGCACCACGCCTGGCTCCTGACTTTGATTCTTACACTACATTAAACAGGTTTTCGGAAGGCCCATCCACACGGGAGTAACAAGCGCCACCAGCAACCCCACGCCCTGTCCCTACAGCCTTGTCCTACCTCAGGCCAGCCCGGCCCAAGGAGATGCAGCCGCAACAGTGGAGGGGAGGTCAGAGCGCACCGCAGTGGGGCTCACCAGCGATCACAGCACTTGGGAGGCTGAGGCAGGAGAATCCTGGGCGTGAAGCTGGCCTAGGCAATTTAACAATTTGGCAAGACTGGGTCTCCAAGAGCTAGCTCGCAGGAATCCCGGCGAGGCCTGCGGTGAAGCAGGGGTCTGCCCTGCCCCGCCCCGCCCCGCCCCGCCCCGCCTACCCTGCCCCCAGGCCTTCCCAGGACCCATCAAAGCCTGAGGTCCCCTCCACTGTCAGAGTCCCCTGGCTCCGTGCAGCTCAGCCTGAGCCCAGCCTCATCAACGCAGGCTCCTGGGGCAGGGTCGGTAAGTCTGGGGCAGCACCCGCTCTGAGCCCCGGTGTCCTCGGGGGAGCTCCCATCCAGGCGCCCCGAATCGGCCTGGCCCGGGCCGTCTCCCTGGAGGCAGAGCCTCGCTGTGCTGCGTGTGGAGAGGAGGGGAGAAGACTCCTGCTATGTAGCTCAGGCTGGACTCAGACGAGCAGGGACCAGGGACCCTCCCACCTCGGCCTTGAGGGGCTGGGATGATGCCCGGTTCCTGCTCCCGTCCTCCAAGGGAGGTCACAGGAACTAAATTTCTCTTCCCTGACTGGGCGGTGGGACTCGGGTGCTGCAGCCTTCCGGCCCTGGAGCTGATTCCAGGTCGTAAAAACCCGTCTGGGAAGGGTCTGGGAGGAAGGAATGCTACCCAGGGAGGGGCTGAATCCTGACCGGCAGGCCCGCCGGCTGGTCTCCCTCTTCTCCACATCCTTGGTGTCCAATCTCCCCTGCAGACTCAGCCCGAGCCTCCATCCTTCACGCCTCCGGACTCCGGAGCAGCCCGAGAGACAGGGCCCTGCCACCCGGACACGTGGACGACGGTGAGAAGGTACAGGCGGCACCCCTGGGCCTGGGAGGGTGGTGGCCCGAACTCCACGGGGACCTGGCACAGCTGCCCGAGGCTCCTCACTTGGCTGCTTGGTGGTATCTTTCTGAAGTCCTGAACGGCACCTGAGGGGCTGAGGCAGGAGGGCTGCAAGTCTCCCTGTGTAGCCCAGGCTGGCTTCAAACAGGCAGGCCGTGATCCTCCTGCCTCAGCCTCCGGAGTGCTGGGATCACAGGCCTGCACCGTCACTTTATTCGGTTTTTAGAGAGGGTCTCACTGTGTAGTTCTGGTGGCCTCAAGGTTGGTTGTATTATCCTTGGTGAATGTTTGTTTAAAAATCGTCTTGACCGTGAAGCCGTTTGATGTGGTCACAGTGTGCTGCCGATCTGCTAGCCTGTGTGCACCAGCGACCAGGAGTGGAAGTCAGGGCCTCCCAGCCACACCCTCAGCCCTAAATACGTTAGAGCAGCTTTAGGTCCACAGCACAAGCGACAGGTTTGTGTTGGAAAACACAGCTCCCTGGAGCAGGGATGGCGACACCACACGCGACATGGGCAGCGGAGCAGGCGAAGAGCGTTGGTTAGGGTGGGGTGGAAGCGGAGGTGCCTCCCGCGCAAACCTGCAGCTTTTCCTCCCCAGCGGCACTAACAAATGAGTTCTGGTTTCCCGTTTTGGAGACAGGATTTCTGTATGTAGACCAATCTGGCCTTCAACTCACAGCGATCTTCCTGCCTCAGCCTCCTGAACTCTGGGATTACAGGGGCGCACCACCACGCCCGGCTCCAAATTGCAATGGTGTCCACTCTGCAAGCCGTGAAATAGTTACCCTGGTCCTTGGCTTGAGGACAGGTGTAGTGTGAACCGAGCCTGGAACACTGGAGGAGGGCAGGGATGACCAGATGGTTTTCCATGCTCCATACAGGAGCCTGGAGCAGTGCGGAGGGTCGGGTAGGGGTGGAGGGGATACCAACCCAGGTAATGTGGCTTCAAATCGTAGCTGAACCCGGGATTTAGCTCAGTGGTGCCACCGCCTGCCTCAAAAGCGCAAGGTCCCAAGTTTGATCTCTGGCACCAAAAACAAAACAAAACAAATACATCCTAGCTGAACCTGCAGGCTTATGCCTATAACTCCAGCATTCTGGAGGCTGAGGCAGGAGGGTCACCGTGAATTTGAGGCAAAAACCAAACAAAGTTTTGGGTCTCACTATGTAGTTCAGGTTGGCCTTGAACTCACGGTGATCCTCCTGCCTCAGCCTCCCTAGCGCTGGGATCACAGATGTGCGCCAGCAGGCCGTGATGCAAAAACCTATTTTAAAAAGGGATTAAAGTTGTCCTTTACTCTCAGAATCCCCGAGGCCCCGAGGGGGTGACTTTACCAATCTGTCTTTCCATCTCCCCCTAAGGCGAGTCTGTCCTCCGCAGGCCGAGGTAGGCAGACCTCCAACTTCACAGCTCCGAGATGCCACTGCTGGAGCTGCGCGAGGTGGGCCGCAGGCTGGTGCGCAGGCGCCCCCTGGCGAAGGCCGATGGCGAGGGCGGCCGCCTGTCGCGCTGCCTGTCCACGCTGGACCTGGTGGTGCTGGGCGTGGGCAGTACGCTGGGGGCGGGCGTGTACGTACTGGCCGGCGAGGTGGCGAGGGACAAGGCTGGGCCGGCCATCGTGCTGTGCTTCCTGGTGGCCGCGCTGTCCTCCGTGCTGTCCGGGCTCTGCTACGCCGAGTTCGGAGCCCGTGTGCCCGGCTCGGGGTCCGCGTACCTCTACAGCTACGTCACAGTGGGCCAGCTGCTGGCCTTCATTACCGGCTGGAGCCTCATCCTGTCCTACATCATCGGTGAGGGGGGGCGGGGCCAGGAGATCCAAGGGGAGCTGGGGGGGGTAGGCCTTGAACCCGCTCTACAGCCCAGGCTGGTCTTGACCTGCCTGCGATCCTCCTGCCTCAGCCCCCTGCGTGCTAGGATTGCAGGCGTGAGCTGCCACACCACCGTGGGACCCTTGTGATCCACTTTGGGGTGGGTGTCCAGGGCAGCAAGATCCCCAGTAGTCCTCCCCGGGGCTCCTGCTGCCCCTCACTGACCCAGCCTAGAAGGAACAGGAACTGGGGGGAACGGGAGGAGTGTCTTCCCCCAGGCCCCACTGAACCCACGGAGTTCACAATGAGCTGCAGCCCCAGCCCTTTCTTTCTTTTTGGGGGGTACCAAGGATATGCCTAGCCCTTCAGTTTTTATTTTTGGCACTGGGAATCGAACTCAGGTCCTCTCTGTGCCTCTGAGTGACATCCCCGAGCCTTTAAGTTCTTGAGACAGGGTCTCACTACGTCGCTGAGTTGTCCAGGCTTGACTACCAGCCAGAGACCCTCCTCCTCAGCCTTCCAGAGTGCTGGGATCACAGGAGTGTGCCACCACGCCTGCCCTTTTCCCTGTCTCCCCTGTCCGCCGCCCCATGTAACGAGCCTCTTCGGGGCTAGGACTCCCCTGTCCCACGTGGACGCGTCCTGTGGCAGCCGCTACCGTATGTCTGCGTGCACTGATGCCTGCTGCCCTCCTTCGCAGGAGCCGCCAGTGTGGCCCGGGCCTGGAGCGCCACCTTCGATGGCCTGATTGGCGGCCACATCACGCGGGGCCTGAGCGCCCGCATCTCCCTGCCTGCGCCTAACGTGCTGGCCGCGCATCCGGACTTCCTGGCGCTGGGCCTGGTGCTGCTGCTCACAGGTGAGTCTGTGAGTCGGGATCCTCGCGCCTCCGCCTCCGGAGTGCCGGCCCGTTCCCGCCGAACGCAACCGCGCTTCCTTCCCAGTGCTCCTGGCCGCGGGCGTGCGGGAGTCCGCGCTGGTCACCACGTTGTTCACTGTGCTGAACCTGCTGGCGCTGGCCTTTGTCATCGTCTCGGGCTTCGTCAAGGGCGACCTGCGCAACTGGCGGCTGGCGGAGGGGGACTACGCACTGGCCGAGTCCCGCCTCAACGGCACCGGCAGGTCAGGTCGAGCGGGCAGTGGGCGGGGAGCGGCGTCCCTCCCGAGGGCCTCACCGCCCCCTGCCCTCCCCCTGCAGCTTGGGCGCCCTGGGCTCCGGAGGGTTCGTCCCCTTCGGCATGGACGGGATTCTCCGTGGAGCGGCCACGTGTTTCTTCGCCTTTATTGGTTTTGATTCCATCGCCACGGCAGGTAGCGCAGTCCTTTGGTCCCTTTGTCTTGATGCGGCCTCTTGATTTGTGAGCCAGGTTGGCCTCAAACTCGCGGTGATCCTCCTGCCTCAGCCTTCCGCGTGCTGGGATGACAGGCGCGCGCCCCCAGCGGCTCTTCCATCCCTTTAGGGGCGTGGAGTGTGGCCTGGGCCGCCCTGAGCAAGGCGGGGGAGAAGGCCAGCCGGGCCTGGGGGTGCAGGAGGCCCACGGGCCGCTCCTGAGCCGCCCAACGTCTGTGTCCGGTCCGCAGGGGAAGAGGCCCGCAGCCCGCAGCGCTCCATCCCCCTGGGCATCGTGCTCTCGCTCCTCATCTGCTTCCTCGTGTACTTCGGCATCTCTGCGTCCCTCACGCTCATGATGCCCTACTTCCTCATCCAGCCCGAGAGCCCCCTGCCCGAGGCCTTCGTGCACGTGGGCTGGGCCCCAGCCCGCTACGCTGTGGCCGCGGGCACTCTGTGCGCGCTGTCCTCCAGGTGGGCGCCGGGCCGCGTGGAGGGAGGGACACGCGGCCGCCCTGCTCCGGCTCACCTGCGCCCGCCCGCCCGCAGCCTCCTGGGCTCCATGTTCCCCACGCCCCGGGTCATCTACGCCATGGCGGAGGACGGGCTCCTCTTCCGGGGCCTGGCGCAGGTGCACGCGCGCAGGCGTACCCCGACCCTGGCCACCGCGGCTTCCGGCGTCGTCGCAGGTGAGGCGCGCGCTCCCTTCGGCGGCAGGCGGGGGTGTGGGCGCGGCCAACTCCGTCCGTCTCGCCCTCCAGCGTGCATGGCCTTCCTGTTCGAGCTCAGCGACCTCGTGGACCTCAGCTCCATCGGGACCCTGCTGTCCTACATGCTGGTGGCCTTTTCCGTCCTGGTGCTCAGGTGAGGCCTGGGCTGTCGCGCGCCCGCCTCGGCCTGGTGGCTGCTGCGGGCCGCCGGTCACTCCCGCTGCACCACGCTCAGGTACCAGCCGGACCGGGACCGGGATCGGGACCGGGACGCAGGCTCCGGCGGGGAGGAGAAGCCGGGGGCGGAAGCCGCATCTGTGCAGCCTGTGCGGCGGGCAGGGAGCTCGGGGCCGCTCCGGGGCCTCTGCGTCGCTGGAGCCGCCGCACCCACCGAGTGGTCAGGCCGTGCCGTATACGCGTGCGCCGCGCTGCTCGGTGAGCCGCGGGGTTTCTGGGGCTGCTGCGGAGGGGCTGGTGGCCCCGCGCAGCCCCTTTGGGTGGACCCGTCCCCTCTGCCCTCCCTTTCCGGCGGTCTCCTTGGCTGTTTGTCTCACCAGCCGTCCGCGTGCAGCACATAGGTCCCGGGGAGCAGGCGCGCACCCCCACCCCGGGGTCCCAGTCCCCCCTCTGCAGCTCCTCCCCACTCCGTCCGCGCACCCGCTCACTTCTGTCTCCTCCGCTGCAAGTCCTGCTGCTGATCGTCCTATGCCTGCTCCTGGCCCGGTGGCCCGGGCGCCTGCTCTCGGGAGACCCGGGGTTCCTGGCGGGGGCCTCGCTGCTGCTGCTGCTCACTGTCGGGGTGGCGCTGCTCATCTGGAGGCAGCCCCAGAACCCTGCGCCCCTGCCCTTCAAGGTAGGTGACCGCCTGGCGCGGGCCCTGTGGACCTCCACCTGGGGCTGCCCCTGGGCCCCGAGCTGAGCAGGCGCCGTCCGCCCAGGTCCCGGGCCTGCCCCTGCTCCCCGCGCTGAGCATCGGCATGAACGTCTACCTGATGATGCAGATGAGCCCTGCCACCTGGGCCCGCTTCGCCGTCTGGATGCTGTTGGGTGAGCGGGGTGTGGGTGTGCGGTGACCCCGCTCACTCCTACCCCAGGGCGCCCGGGGACACGGCAGACTCACGAGGGGCGTGGCGGCGTCGCACTCACGGCCTGCTTCCCTGCCAGGATTCGCTATTTACTTTGGATATGGCATCTGGCACAGCCTGGAGGAGCAGGACCGCCAGCCGCCAGCCTCGAGCACCCAGAGCCTGCACGAAGACACCCGGTGCTGAGCAGGGCAGCCGCAGAACCCGGATGTTCCGGCCAGCGAGGCCCCGGGATCAGGGCCGGGTATCTATTTGCCAACATGTTCTTAGTAAAGCTTTTTAACTGACGAAGTTCTGATATGCATGCGTGGTACTTATTTCTGTGTGAGTGGTGAAACGTTTAAAATGTGGACGCAGCAACTTTCCAGTGTTCATTTTTGAGGGCACAGACGAACTTGGAGGATGGTTAACCAAAGCAAACAAGGCTCAGGAAAGACAGCACTGCATGACCTCACTTAAGGAGGAACCATAAAAAGCTGAACTCAAGCCCGGAGTGTTGGCGCAGGCCCGTAATGCCAGCACATGGCAGGCTGAGGCAGGAGGGTTGCTGCGAGGAGGGTTGCCTGAGCTACATGGTGAGACTGTGTTTTACAAAACCATACCTAACCAGGCTGGGGATGTAGCTCAGTGGTGCGGCTGCCTGCCTCACAAGCGCAAGGTCCCAAGTTCGATCCCTGGTACCCCTCAGAAAACCCCCCAAAACAAAAAAAACATACCTAACCAACAAAGGCCAAAACAAAAATAAAACAAATCAGAACAACAGGAATTTAGTTGAATTCAGAAGCAGAGTAGGGCTGGGGGTATGTAGCTCAGTGGTGTAGAGCATTGTCTAACGTGTGAGACCCTGAGCTTGATGTCCACCATCACCGAGAAAAAACCCCCAGCAGAGTAGCGGGGTGGTTACCAGGGGCTGGATGCTGGATTTCGCAGTCCTAGGTCAAAAGATTCAAAGTTCCAGGGCTGGGGATTTAACTCAGTGGAGCAGTGAGTGCCTTGCAAGCTCAAGGTCTTGAGTTTGATTTGTGGTTCAGGGGGAAAAAAAGAAAAAAAGAAAAGATGCAAAGTTCCAGCTGGATGGGAGGTTTAAGTTCAGGAGCAGCTAGTGTACAGCTTGCTCATGGAATGCCTTTAGGGTTTTTAAAAAAAATGTATTTGTGGGCCGGGGATTTAGCTCAGTGGTTTCACCACCTGGCTTGCAAGCGCAAGGACCTGAGTTCGATCCCCGGTACCAAAAAAAAAAAATATTTGTTTGCAGAACATGAAGTTTATATTCACCTTGGGGAGTAGGTGCATGTACTTAACACAGCTTAATTATTTTTTAATCTTCCCCTTCCCATCCACCTCCCTCTCTCTGTCTTTAAATCTCCTTTCCCTGTTTTCATTCTTATTCTTAGTTCATGTTTGTGACATGTTCACATTCACTGTGGGTATCTGGTACCTGTACATGATGCATCTTAAATCCACCCCCCCCCATTGCCCTCTGTTTCCTGGACCACTTTCCATTTGCAAAAGGTCCATCCCCCTTGTCTCCTATCCATCCTTTTTTTTGCTCTTTGTACTTTTCCTTGTTCAAATGAGAGATACCATATGACATTTAAGCTTGTGTGTGTGTGATTTGTTTCACTCAACACTTTTTAGGTGCATCCCCTTTCCTACAGATGTCTTGAATTTATTTTTTATGGCTATTATTCCATAATGTATAAATACCACATTTTCTTTATGCATTCTTCTATTGATGGACATACAGGCTGCTTCTAGGATTTAGCTATTATGAATTGTGCTGCTATGAACATTGGTATGCATGTATCTATAATGTCTTTAGCTCTTTTATCTTTAGCTTTTTGTCTTTTTCCTATAAGGGGAATAGCTGGATCAAATGGATTGTTTTTTAAAGCAGGAAAGGTTTATTTCAGCTCATAGTTTGTAGAGGTTTCAGTACATACATAGTCAGCTGGCTGAAATTTTTATTTTTAGTTCTTTGAGAAATCTCTGACTTCCGTCATGCTTTTTTACTAGTTTACATTTCCACCAACAATGTAGGAAGGTTCTTTTCTCACCTCAGCCATACTAGAATTTATTAGTCTTTGATTTTTTTGATGATTGCCATTCTTTCTGGTGTAAGATGATTTCTTAGCATTGTTATAATTTGCATTTGTCTAATGGCTAGAGATGTTGAACATTTTTTCATGTGTTTCTTGGCCATTTGTACTTCTTATTCTGAAAAGTGTCTATTCCAGTTGTCAATCTCTTGATTGGGTCTTTATTTAGGGTGATTTAATTTTTTTGAGTTGTTTGTACTATATACGAGTCCTCTGAAAAATAGCGGGAAAATTTTTTCCCATTCTGTAGGCTGTCTCTTCACTCTGCTACTTGTTTCCTTTGCTGTGCAGAAGCTTAATTTGATACAATCTCATCTGCTGATTTGCACTTTTATTTCTTGTGCAATTGGAGTTCTGTTCAGAAAGTCCTTGTCTGTACTACGGACTTCAACTGTTTTACTTTTTCTATCTTATAGTGGGTTCAATGTTTCTGTTTTAATGTTTAGATCTCTGATGCATTTTGATTTTATTGCAGTACATGGGTCCAGCTTCCATTTTTTGCATGTAGATAGTCAATTCTCCAGTGCCATTTGTTGAATAGCCTATTGTTCCTCTAACATACATTACTTGAGCCTTTCATGAAGATCAAACAGATGTGTCTGGGGATGTTTCTGTACCCTCCATCGATCTACATGTCTGTTTTTGTGCCAGTAACTTGCCAGTTTTCAAAAACCAGCCTTACTTTGTAATATAATTTGAAGTCAGGTGTTGTGATGTCTCTCTCCTCTTTTGTTCTTATTGCTGAAGATTGCTTTTATTATTCTGGGTCTCTTCTGGTTCCATATGAATTTTAGGATTCTTTTCTCTAGATCTGTGAGGAATGCTGTTGCTATTTTGTGACTGTGTTAAATCTATACATCAGTATTGGGAGTAAGGCCTTTTGACGATGTTGGTTCTCCCTATCCAGGAGCAGGGGACATCTTTCCATTTCCTGATGACCTCTTCAATCTCTTTTTCAGAGTACTGGAGTTTTCATTGTAGTGGTCTTTTGGTTCCTTCGTTAATTCTTAGGTATTTAATTCTACTGTGAATGGTATTTTCTTTCCCATTGAGTTCATTATTGCCATACATGAATGCTATTCATTTTTCTGTGTTAATTTTGCATTCTGCTACATTGCTGAAATTGGTTATTTTAAGGGGTTTTTGGTAGAATTCTTTGGATCTTTTTTTTTTTTGGTACCGGGGGTTGAACTTGGGTCCTTACACTTGCAAGGCAGGCAGCAGAACCACCGAGCTACATCTCTGGCCCTCTTGTTCTTGATTTAGAGGGAAAGCTTGCAGTTTCCCCCATTTAATAAGATATTGGCTGTCGGTTTGTTATAGTTTTTATCAAGTTCAGGTATGGTCCTTGTTTACCTATTTTCTTCAGGATTTTTATCGTGAAGGGGTGTTGGATTTTGTCAAAAGGCTTTTCTGCCTGTTTTATTATGGTCATGCACTTTGTCCTTGCTTCTGTTTATGTGGTATATTACAGTTACTGATTTGTGCACGTTGATCCATCCTTGCGACTCTGGGATGAAACCTCCTTGATCAGGATGTATAATCCTTTTGATGGTATATTGTGTTCTATTTCCTAATATCTTCTTGAGGAGTTTTGCATCTGTATTCATTGAGGAGACCAGCCTGTAGAGTGACCTGCCTGACATTCAAACAACTTGGGTTATAACTGGAATTTAAGTTTTAACTTATGAACAAAGTCTTGAGTTATGACCAGATGGTTTCAGATACAGATTTAACCCTTAAAGAGTTCTGGAAGGAACATTACAACATCCTTCCCTGTGTGGGTTAATTGGGAAATCCTGGGCCACTGTCTCTAAGGACACTCAGATCTGCCTGTGTACAGGAGAGACACTCTGAAGGCTGTGTAGAGGAGCCTGACCTTCAGCTGACCAACTTGAGTTACAACCAGCCCTCAGGAATGAATTGAGTTTGTAATTCAAGTGTCCACTGTAGTTTTTTAGTTGGTTCTTTGGTTTTGGGATCAGCGTGATGCTGGCTTCCAGAAATGAGTTTAGAACCACTCTTTGCATTTCAATTTCATTAAAAGGCTTGAGGAATACTGGTGTTAGATTTTCCCTGAAGTTTTGGTAGAATTCAGCAGTGAACCTGTGTAGACCTGGGCTTTTCTTAGTTGGAAGGTTATTTACTGTTGCTTCAGTTTCACTGCCTGTTATTGGCTTCAGGGTTTTAAAACTTTCTTGGTTCAATTTTGGTAATTCATATGTGTCTAGGAATCTATCCATTTCTTCTGATTTCTCCGGTGTATTCGTGTACAGGTTCGTGAAGTAGCCGTTAATGGCCTGGTTTTGGCAGTATCCGTACCCATTGCACCCTTTTCATTCCTAATTACATGGACTTGGGTGTTTTCTGTCCTTTGTTTGGTTAGATTGGCTAAGGGTTTGTCCATTTTATTTTTTTTGAAAAACCAACTTTTAGACTCAATAATTCTTTGTATTGCCTTTTGGTCTCATTTTCTTTTTTGGTACTGGAGATCGAACTCGGGACCTGTGCTTGTGAGGCAGGTGCTGGAACCACTGAGGTAAATCCCTGGCCCCGAGCTCCGATCTTTATAATTTCCTTCCCTATGCCAGCTTTGGCCTTGGATTATTCTTGTTTTTCTAGGGCCTTGAGGTGCACTGTTAGGTTAATTTGGGTGTGCTCTGTTTTTGTGGGCATTCTCAGTTACTTCCCTCACAAGATTGCTTTCATTGTGTCCCATAAGTTTTAGTTTGTTGTACTGGCATTATCATTTAGTTCTAGAAAGTATCTTATTTCTTCCTTGATTTCTTCTGTACCCCATTGTTTACTTAAGAGTGTATTGTTTAGTTTTCATGCATTTGTATAATTCTATGTTTTCTTTTCTAACACTTCGAGCTATGGACTTATAATAAACAGGGTATAATTTCAGTTTTTTACATTTGCTTAAGGCTGATTTATTGCCTGGGATATAATCTGTTTTGGAGAAAGTTCCATGTGCTGATAAAAATGCATTCTGTTGTTGGGTGGAGGACTCTGTAGATATCCATTAAGTCCATTAGTTTGAAGGTTTTGTTCAACTCTATTTCTTTGTTGAGTTTTTGGTGTAGTGGATCTATTTGTTAGTGGGGTATTGAGGTCCCCCACTGTAATTGTGTTTATGTGATCTTTTTTGTCCAGTAGTACTTGTTTTATGAAGTTGGGTGCACTGTTGTTTGGTACATATATTTTTTTTGTTTTTTTCTTTGGTACCGGGGGTCGAACTTGGGACCTTGTGCTTACAAGGCAGGCGCTGAAACCACTGAGCTAAATCCCTGGCCCTTGGTGTATATATGTTAATAATTGTTACTTCTTCCTGTCAGGTTCTTCCCTTAACTAATATGTAGTGACCTTGTTTCTTTTGATCAGTTTTGGCTTGGAATTTGAATATGACAGTTACATCTGCTTTTTTTTTTTTTGATTGCAACTATATGGAATATTGTTTTCCATTGTTTGATTTTTAGTCTGCAAGTTTCTTTTGGGGTTAAATGTGATTCTTTTATACAGAATACCATTGGGTTTTTGTTTTTTTTTTGAGACAGGGTTTCACTGTGTAGCTCAGGCTGGCCTTAAACTCACTATGTAGATTAGGCTGACCTTGAACTCAGTGATCCTCCTTCCTCAGCCTCTGAAGTGCTGGGATTAAAGGCATGTGTCCCCATGCCCGGCCTACCATTGGATTTTGTTTCTTGGTCCATTGTGCAGTCTGTGTCCTTTAATGGGGAAACTGAGACCATTCACATTGTGAGTTATTAATGATAGGTACTGACTTATTGTCATTGCCTTATTTTCCTGTTGCTGATTCCCTGTCTTTCCTTTGTACTTAACTGCTTCCTCAACATTGTGTATTCTATTAGATCTTTTGTCACTTAGCTACATTGCCTTTTTTTTTAGGTACCGGGGATCGATCTTGGGTCCTTGCGCTTGCGTGGCAGGCAGCGGAACCACTGAGCTAAATCCCGGGACTATGGACCCTAATTCTTTTCTATGCTGGTTATGCATGTCTTGCATCATTTTGTTTAGCTCTTATTAGTGTCTTCTCTAGACTCACTGATGATTTTAATTGTCCCAATATCTTATTACTTGTATCTTCTGTGAGCTTGCCAAATGCCTTATTGAACTGTTTTGTACTCTTTCTTGGTCTTCAGTGTCTGCAGGAGAAGGGGGGATTGGATGGTTGTCAGGGGTCTGAGGCCACATCCAGGGAGAAACCCCACTTTGAAACCTGAGTCTGTCACTCACCCGAGGAATACTCCCTAGAGAGCCCAAACCCTGAACCAGACACCGAGGGCTGCCTAACACAGGGCCCTGAGTGCCCTCAGCTGAGATGCGGCCCTAAGCCTGAGACAAATGCAATGCAGGCCATACTTCAGCCCTACGTTGTGAACTGCCAACCTCATGGACTCCCCAGGTCTGAGGCCACACCATTCCCGGTGTCTGGGGCTGAGTCTCCCACAGGCTCTGGCATCTTCCTGGTATCTCCAGGCTGTCCTGACGAGCACTCTCTAGCTATCAAAGCCGACCTCTTGGACTCTGCCATTCTTGTCTCCAGCTCATGGCTCTGGGTTCCTGCTATTCCTTCCCCACCCCAGCCCAGTCCCCTGGGCTCCTGCCCTCCCCAGAAGTATCTTAGATCCCTCCTCCAGGTGCTAGGCTTTCCCATGAAAGTTCTACCTTTTTTTTTTTTTTTTTGATACTAGGGATTGAACCCAAGGCCGTCATACTGAGCTATGTCTCCAGCCAAAATATTTTTTTGTTTTTTGAGACAAGGTCTTGCTGTGCAGTTCAGGCTGGCCTTGAACTATGTGGCCCAGGGTGGCCTCGAACTCAAGATGATCCTCCTGCCTCAGCCTCCCGAGAGGTGGGATTACAGGTGTGCAGCCACCATGCCTGGCTTTGTATGTTTTATTTTGAGACAGGGTCCCATTACGTTGCTCAGGCTGGACTTGAACTTGCGGTCCTCCTGCTACAGCCTCCCGAGAGGTGGGGTCACAGGTGTGCATCACCATGCCTGGCTCTACCCTCACTCTAGGTCCATCTTCAGATGGCTGAGGTTCCCCACTCAGTTCCCTGGCTTCCCCACCCAGCTGGGACCTGTGGTCCTGCCCCTTCTTGCTGTCCTTGCTGTGGATGTTCACTGCCCAGTTCCTTCCTAAAGAGGCCATGTTAAAAATCTGACTCCAGCTCCAATGTGATTTCAAAAATTTATTAATACTTTCAATTGACAAATAATTGTATTACATTTATTTACTTTTTATATTACATTAATGGAATACAACATGATATTTTATCCATGTGTACAATGTGGAATGACTAGATCAAACCAACATCCATCCCTTCCCTTGATTTTTTTTTGTGGTGAGACACATGACATATAGTTATGATCTTAATTTTTGCCATTCTGGTGGCTGTCTAGTGACATCCCATTGTGTCTTACTTTGATGAGGAATGGTGTTGAACACACTTCACTTGCTCACTGGCCACCTGGCGATCTCTGGCAAAGTGCTTCATCTCCTGCCATCTATCTTTCCAGCTGCCTCGTAACTTGAGGGATTCCTTGTACTTTCTTCAGGGGTCCTTCGTTATCTGGGCATGGAGAGCTCCTCTCTTCCGGTCTACTTCTTGCCTTCTGCTTATCTTAGTAGCATCATTTCATCAGTGTGCTTTGTGCTTTGGATGAAGTCTAACGTAACCGTTTGTGTTCAGTATCTTTTGTGCAGTAAGTCATGATTGACAAACTGAAGACAGTGACAGTAATCTGTGCTTTCCCCGGGAAGTCTGATGTTCTTCTACTCACTGCACTCCCAGGTAGTCTGGTAATAGCTGGTGACGGTCACAAGAACAACAGTAGGTGCTCTTTACTGAGCTGACAACAGTACTCCAGGTCCACTGTCAAGGAGTTTCCATGTACACACGTTTAATGTCCACAATAGCAGTCATAGGTAGATTTGATTATCATAAAGAACAGACAGTGCACATAACGAACATTATACAGACACAGATGGTCTCAAGTTACAGATGTTTCAACTTACAATTTTTCAACTTTAGGATGGTGCACGAGCAGACCCACACAACCACTGAGTTTTGAACTTTATGATGCTGCGAATATAACCCTACAGCCGCTGAGCTTTGAACTTTATGATGCTGCGAATAGAACCCTACAGCCACTGAGTTCTGAACTGTAGGATGGTGCGAAAGCGAACCCACACAACCACTGACTTCTGAACTTACGATGGTGCGAAAGCGTAACCACATAGCCACTGATTTTCACTTTCAGTACAATATTCAATAAATTACATGAGACATCCAGCACTTGATCACTGAATAGGCTTTTACACAATTTTGCCCAGGTCAGGATAATGGGAGTATTTTGGGCACATTTAGGGTATGCTGGGCTAGGTGCCAATGTTTGGTCAGGTGTATTAAGCGCATTTTTGAATGGTATTTCCAACATAGGATGGGTTTATCGGGATGTAACCCTACTGTATGTTGAGGTGCATCTGTGATGCACAGGGGTAACGGGTAGTGTGCTGGCATTGTCTCACAGGGAGTAAAGGGGTGGGATGCTGCTGATACTCAGTGGGGTATGCGCCATGATTAAAGGCTTCCCCTCGAATTATTTAGCTGGGTTGTTCCCTAGAATGAACCTGAAATGTGACAAAGATGGAATGGTACTGGTAGGCTGCTATGATTCACTCAACCAACCTATCTGGTAAAAGTGTGAGCATGGACGTGTTGTGATCATAAAGCAAAGTGACCTCTCCACTGCAAGTTTGCCTGTCGTGTTACTGCTGTGGTCTGTAAGCGTAAGGAGGACCAGGGGAGGCTTTCTCGTGTGAAATTAAATCATGACTTCCTCCTGGTGGGGAACCAAGGAAGGAATGGAGGATGGACGCTTTGGCACACTCTTTCCTCCGACTTACAAATTCTTATGCACCCGCAGATGTCCCTTCAGGTGGCTTGAGTGCTTGCACACCTTCCCGCACTCCTTGCACACGTGAGGCTTCGCCGTGTGGGTCTTCTGGTGCTGCGTGAGTTGGTGGCCGTGGCTGAAGGCCTTCCCGCAGTCGGTGCACTCGTGCGGCTTCTCCCCGGTGTGGATCCTCTCGTGCTTCACCAGGCTCGAGCCGTAAATGAAGGCCTTCCCACACTCCTTGCACTTGAACGGGGTCTCGCCGGTGTGGATGCGCTCGTGCTGGGTGAGGTGGTAGCCGCAGTTGAAGCCCTTGCCGCACTCGGCACACCTGTACGGCTTCTCCCCGGTGTGGATGCGCTCGTGCTTCACGAGGCTGGAGGCCCAGCGGAAGGCCTTCCCGCACTCCTTGCACTCGTGCGGCTTCTCGCCCGTGTGGATCTTCTGGTGCTGAGTGAGGTAGTTGACGCGGGTGAAGGACTTCCCGCACTCCTGGCACTCGAAGGGCTTCTCCCCGGTGTGGACCCTCTTGTGCTGGATGAGGCTGGAGCCGCAGATGAAGGCCTTCCCGCAGTCCTTGCACTCGTAGGGCTTCTCGCCGCTGTGGATCCTCTTGTGCTGGATGAGCTTGTAGAGGCGGCTGAAGGTCTTGCCGCAGTCCTTGCACTCGTAGTCTTTCTCGCCGGTATGAAAGCGCAGGTGCTGAGTGAGCTCGTCGCCCCGCCTGAAGGCCTTGCCGCAGTCCTTGCACTCGTAGGGCTTCTCGCCTGTGTGGATCCTCCTGTGGATGACCAGGCTGGAGCCCCAGCGGAAGGCCTTGC